ATCTTTAAACTGTGGAGGGGAGGAAAGAAATCTCAGTGGGTTGCTTGCTTTTCTTTCTATTTCTTTTCTTTTCACTTTTTCTTCTTTCTATAGAGATGGGCTATATTTGAGTGAGGAGAAACATGAAGAAAAGGTTTTATACTTTCTAAAAGGGGATGTAGGGTGTTAACGTCTTTAAAAATATGTAAATGTCTTTATTTTTCACATCATGTACTTGGGGTAAAATTCAAAAAGTAGAAAAGAGTATCCAGTGAAAAGAAAGTCTCCTGTCATCTCCCAGCCACCAGCACTGTTCCTTGGAGACAATCTCTGGTCCCAGTTTCTGGTGTATCTTTCTAGATGTATTTAATATATATATTAAAATATATTTTATATATTTATGTATTAATATATGTATTTCCAACTGATAGCAATTCTATTCTGCACCTTGTTTTTCTTATGTGTTTGTTTCTAGTTAATACATCTTGTTTCATATTAAAACCTAAAGAACCATACCTTTTTAAAGGCTGCATTGTATTTCATTGTATGGGTATATCAAAAGTTACTTTTTTTTTTTTTTTAGAAATTTATATGTTTATTTATTTATTTGTGGCTGTGTTGGGTCTTTGTTGCTGCACGTGGGCTTTCTCTAGTTGCGGCGAGCGGGGGCTACTCTTCGTTGCGGTGCGCGGGCTTCTCATTGTGGTGGCTTCTCTCGTTGCGGAGCACGGGCTCTAGGTGCACAAGCTTCAGTAGTTGTGGCTCGCGGGCTTCAGTAGTTGTGGCTCACAGGCTCTAGAGCACAGGCTCAGTAGTTGTGGCGCACGGACGTAGTTGCTCCATGGCATGTGGGATCTTTCCGGACCAGGGCTCGAACCCGTGTCCCCTGCATTGGCAGGTGGATCCTTAACCAATGTGCCACCAGGGAAGTCCCAAAAGTTATTATTTATTTAACCATTCCCCAAGAATTCCAAGACAGAATGGTTTAGATACATTTAGATACATTTTAAACAATACTGCAATGGATATTCTTTAAGTGCTTTATATGTCACATTTGTAACTGTATCTGTTCTAAAAATTCATAGATGTATAACTGCTGGGTCAAAGAGTACATATGCACTTTTACTTTTGATAAATATCGTCAAAGTGCCCCTCCCACAGTTGTTGTGCCAGTTTACAGTCCCACCAGCGGTGCATGTGATGGCCTGTTTCCTCAAACCCTTGCTAAACAGAATATTATCCAACATTCTGATCTTTGCCAATCTGATAGGGAAAATGGTATCTTCATAATCTTACTTGTATCTCTCTTGTTCTGAATGAGGTTGAGTATTGTTTCATATGTTTAAGAGCCATTTTTTTTTCTTTTACTGTGGAAAGAATTTCCTGTTCTTTGCCCATTTTTCTGTTGGATTTTTGGCCTCCTGCTTATTCGTTTGTTTTGTGTATTAGTATAATTCATCTGTTGTCTGTGATATATGTAGCAAATATTTTTGTCCAGGTTGGGATTTTATTTGACACTGTGGGGATTTATTTTTGCTATGCAGAACTTTAAAAATTTATGTGTTGTTAAATTTAATGAAATTTATAGATCTTGTTATTTTTGCCTTCTGGGGTTTGTCATACTTTAGTTTCTGTTTTATTGCAAGTTGCAAACTGGACAGAAAAATCATTGGATTGAGAATCAGATCTGCTTTTAGCCGCCAAATCCCTTCCCTCCTTTAACCTCAATTTTGCCTTCTTTCTCTAAACTGAAGGGGTTGGACTTCATTCATTTATTTGTTCATCTTTTCATGCATTCATTCATCAGCACTGAGCTGGATACTGGGAACACAGAGATAAATGGTGTGGTCCACGTTCTTGTGGCACAATAGGGAGAGAGACAAGTGACCCAACAGGGACCTGCAGTGTGCTGGGAGTGGAAGTGGAAGACCTCAGTATATACTGAGGGGGCATCTGATGCGGGCCTGGAAGGAGATGTAGGTCAGGAGGTGAAACAAGAGATTTCATGGGAGGGAGTCTTGGAGAATGAGGAGTTAGTTATTCTGGTAAAAATAACTGGTGGGGCGAGGTGGGGTGGTGGCAGAGGGAAGAGCATTTGACAAGGAGGGGAGGAGACCTGTGATGGCCTGGGGCTCTGGAGGGAGGGCGTCCGGAGTGCTGGGGAGTCACAGTGCGGCTGGGTCTAGACCACAAAGGCCTCTCCAGCCAGGCGCCCAGGCTGCCGCGGACCCTGTGGGCACAGATGGCCAGAGAAGCCTTCTCAACATGATCAGATTTGCCCTTTGTTGAGGATGGGACAATCGTTTTCATTTGAGTGTTGTGAAATATTTTCCATGGCATTTTTATAAAGAATACTACAAGGAATACTTTTGAATATCACCTAGTTTAAGAAATAAAGGGCTTCCCTGGTGGCACAGTGGTTGAGAGTCCGCCTGCCGATGCAGGGGACACGGTTTGTGCCCCGGTCCGGGAGGATCCCCCATACCGCGGAGCGGCTGGGCCTGTGAGCCATGGCCGCTGAGCCTGCGCGTCCGGAGCCTGTGCTCCGCAACGGGAGAGGCCACAGCAGTGAGAGGCCTGCGTACCACAAAAAAAAAAAAAAAAAAAGAAATAAACATCATCACTGTAGTTGAAAAGCCCCATGGACCACTCCCCAAATCTCATCTCTCTACCTCCTCTAAATGTTTGTAAGAACGTGCTTCTGGTGGACATATAAAATGGCACAGTTGCATCTTAATGATAATTAAGATAATAATTGCATCCAAAAAGAAATGATAATTATGGTATATAATGTAGGTGTTAGCTAATGCTAGGGAAGTAATCATGCTGCAATACATAATATAAGTATCATATCAACACTTTGTTCACCTTAAACTTACACAATATTACATGTCCGTTATATCTCAATTTTAAAAAAATGGCACAGTTGCTTAAGAGGACAATTTAGCCACACTCAGTGAAGTTGCAGATGCATATATACCCATATCATCCAATAATTCTACCCTAAGTGGTGGAATTACCTGCACAGGTAAGCACAAGGAGATGTGTATAAGAAAGTCCATAGTAGTGGTGGTTGTGATAGTGATGGTAACCTCACTTTCCATCAGCAGAAATGTGAACTAATCCATAGTGGCTTATGTATACCTAGAGTACTGCTGTGAAAATATGAGACCTGGAACCACATGTCTCAACAGGGATAAATCTCAAAAATACAGCGTTGAGTGGAAAATAAAAAAGTTCCAGAATACATGCAGCATGCCAACATTTATATGAGGTTAGTAGACAGGCACAGCAGTGCTGCATTCTGTTAGAGACATAGAGTCATGTAGTAAACACATAAAGGCATGCATGGGGATAATAAACACCAGACCCCCAGAGTGGCTGCCTCTGGGGCATAGGCAGGGAGAATAGGATCAGAGAGTCCATGAGAGCTTCAGCTGAGTTGATATTTTCTTTCTTAAGTGGAGTGGTGGGCCCGTGCCTGTTCCTCATGTTATTCTTGTTCTAAAAATGTTAATAATATATTTTATTGAGCCCAGAATTTCCCCAAATTATCATCTCAACATGAAATCAATCTAAACATATTAAACAAAATGAATATCTTACGTTCCTTTTTTCAAGCATTCCTTTTTCAAAATCCAGTTTGCATCTGTTGTCCCGCCTGCAGAGCTCCTGCCCACCTCTCTCTGGGACCTGCCTTCCTATCTCATCACCGCAGGTGCACAGGGGTGCGCGTCACTGCAAGCCAGCCTGCAGCCTTCTCCCAGGGGATGGTGGTTGGGTGGACCAAGGCTCATGAACCTGGGGTCCTTTCCAGGCCACCACAATGGAGGCCTATTATTTCTCCCCCCAAGGGGTAGTGGTTAAGAGCACACCTCATTAGTGGGATGCTCTCCTGAGAGGCTTACCTTGGGCAAATTTCTTACCTTCTCTAAGTTTTCTCTGGGGTAGAATGGGGATAATAGTACCTACCCTCATGGAGTTGTTGTGAGGAGTAAATGAGCTAGCTAATGTATGTGAAGAGATTAGAGCCTGGTAAGAGTGAGAGCCCGGGGAATGTGGGTGATGCTGACCATGATGACGACAGTGACAAAGGGCGATGACGATGATACGTATTTCAGTTGTCCTAAGGTCTGAGAACACATGGTTTTGTCCCTGCTTTTTTCCCCACACCCTGAGGCACTTAAACAGTAGACCTCATTCAAAATAAAACAAAACAAAATAAACCTATCCACTTTTTTTAAAATTAATTAATTTATTTATTTGGCTGCGTCAGGTCTTCGTTGCTGTGCATGGGCTTTTCTCTAGTTGCGGCGAGTGTCGTTGTGGTGTGTGGGCTTCTCATTGCGGTGGCTTCTCATTGCGGTGGCTTCTCTTGTCGCGGAGCACGGGTTCTAGGCAAGCGGGCTCAGTAGTTGTGGCTCGCGGGGTTAGTTGCTCCGCGGCATGTGGGATCTTCCCGAACCAGGGCTAGAACCTGTGTCCCCTGCATTGGTAGGTGGATTCTTAACCACTGTGCCACCAGGGAAGTCCCAAACCTATCCTCTTTTAAAGAAAGAAATGGGGGAAAAATCCTTAAGTTGATGGGGGAACACTGTAGGGATATTCTAGGAATATTTTTAAATGTTTTCCAAACTGCTAATCATGACTTGTTCATGGGTAATGATATCAGTTCAGTAGGTTGTTTCCAGCATGTTTTTAATAAAACAAAAGAGAAAAAGAATTGTTAAACAGAAAGGAAAATATCATAGTGCCTGGTAAGTATTAAAAGTAAATAATGTTTTATGAAACATCTGTTTCACTGTTACAGATATATATTTGTCTAAATGTGCATATTGGGTGGCCATGTAAATGCATTTCTTATTGTCGGTCATTGTCAAAAAAGTTTGAAAAACAATAATTAAGACACAACAGTGGGGCTCCTGAAGGATCCCATTTCATTCCTGAATTTATTTCTTCCTCATTTCCAAGCGTAGTCGAATATATATGTGAAGCATGGCCTCCTCTCTCCCTCCCTGCAGAATTGGCTTCCCAGGGCCACCTGGACCTCACGGAGCTCATCGGCGTCCCGCTGCCCTCGTCCGTGTCCTTTGTCACTGGCTATGGTGGCTTCCCGGCCTACAGTTTCGGGCCTGGTGCCAACGTCGGCCGCCCGGCCAGGACCCTCATCCCACCCACCTTCTTCAGGAACTTTGCCATCAGCGTGATGGTGAAGCCCAGCAGTGCCCGAGGCGGCGTGCTCTTTGCTATCACAGATGCCTTCCAGAAGGTCATCTACCTGGGCCTGCGGCTCTCAGGGGTGGAGGATGGCAGCCAGCGGGTCATCCTCTACTATACGGAGCCCGGCTCCAAGGTGTCCCACGAGGCTGCCGCCTTCCCGGTGCCCGTGATGACCCATAGGTGGAACCGCTTTGCCATGGTTGTCCAGGGGGAGGAAGTGGCCCTCCTTGTGGACTGCGAGGAACACAGCCACGTCCCCTTCCCGAGGTCCTCCCGGGTCTTGGCCTTCGAGCCCAGCGCGGGAATCTTCGTCGGCAACGCAGGAGCCACGGGGCTGGAGAGATTCACTGTGAGTCCGAGCCCTGCAGATCAGGGGGGCCTCTGGACACCGTGCGACAAACACAAGCAGCTATTCTTGTTATTATCGTATTCTTATGTCCTCAAAGAGGCATGTATGCTGGTGGGAGAAAGCTAGGCCCAGAACACAAAGCCTAGATTCCAGCGCTGAGTTTTCAGTGTAGCTTGATGATTTTAGACAGTATCTGGATTCTCTGATCTGTTCTGTGTTTTCTTATCTATAAGTAGGGATAAGAAAGCCTAGGCCACAGGGTTGTGGAGTCACGTGACCTAGCCTGTGTGAAAGCACTTTGTGTGCTTTAAGGCATTAGAGAAAGGGTAAGGTTTGTTAGATCCTTCAGTGATTTTATCTTTGGAAAAGGGTGGCAGTTGCATGTAATTTCTACAGAGGTGGAATAGCTGGGATGCCAGAGTGTGAGGTAGTTTCGCTCTCTCCTTTTGGGTAATGTGACTTGAAAAAAATACCGGAAAACTGATTTTGCTGTCAAAATGTTTTTTTGTTTGTTTTTTGCGGTACGCGGGCCTCTCACTGTTGTGGCCTCTCCCGTTGTGGAGCACAGGCTCCGGACGCGCAGGCTCAGCGGCCATGGCTCACGGGCCCAGGTGCTCTGCGGCATGTGGGATCTTCCCGGACTGGGGCACGAACCTGCGTCCCCTGCATCAACAGGCGGACTCTCCACCACCGCCACCAGGGAAGCCCAAAATGTTTTTTATGAATAAGCCATTCTAAAGCAGATCCCTAAATTACTGTAGTTATCCATTTAGTCAGCACTATTCTTACTGATACCTTCCCAACTGATTCAGGACAGGCCTGTGGCCTGGGGTTTGGGTTTATCTGTAGGACAGTGGAAGATGGATTTTAAGAAGTTAAAATCGGATGAATAATTTTGAAACGCTCGCTTGGGGATAGTCATGGAGAACGGGCTGTCAGGTGTGGAGAGGGGAGGCGGAGTGGAAGCAGGGAGGTTGGTGGACACCTACTCTGGGGACAGGTCCTTCCAGCTGGGAAGCATTGAGCCATGGGGGAGAGACACTTTCTGGTGGGGGAGGCGTGCATTTTAGGGCTTGTTGTTGACAAGCTGGGGACCTGGGGACCAGTTAGGAGGCTGCTGTTAGTCCGCGCTTTGAACGCCATGCTCTCCAAGGGCCTCTCTAGTTAGTGGGGCTCATATTACATTGGCCCAAGGAGCGTCCCCCTGAATGAGAACAGGCCTGGAGGTGGCTTGGTTTCCTTGTCACGGCTATGGGCGGCACTCCCCACACCTGTCCTTTCACGGCTTCTTCTCTGTTACAAAAACGTCATGTTTCCCACGGCTGCTTGTGCTGTAGACGTGGCCTCTGACCCCTCTGCTTTTCCCTAGGGGTCTATACAGCAGCTCACCATCCACCGTGACCCCAGGACTCCCGAGGAGCTGTGTGAAGCTGAAGAATCCTCGGTGAGCCCCTACCTCCCCCCGGCAGCCAGAGAAGCTGGCGCCCAGGCAATTTTTCATTCCCAACGTCATGGAGTCTCTGAAATCTCTCATCTTGGCAAGCACTGCATCAAGTCCTATTTTGGGCTTTTTGGCTTTATTATTATTTTTAAGAACTTCAGCCATGTCTTTGGTGTGTGTGGGGGAGGAGTTGTGTTTCTTCTAAGGTGTTAGGTTCTTCCGTGGCCGTGCCAGTCAATGGCGTGGTTTCCAGACTTCCTGCCAAGAAAGGGTGTCAGGATTCTAAAATCAAAGTAAAAACTCAAAGACATTCTGGGTGTAAATTCTTATAAAAGCAAAACTAAATTTAGCTTTTATGCTTGGCAAATGAATCGGTTCCTTAGCTGGGGGGCAGTGGTGGTGGGCAGGGGACAAAAGATGCGTCCTTTCCCCCCTCCTTCCCTCCCTCCCTCCCGTCAGAATTGACTGAGCACCTGCAAGGTGACAGACCTGGGGAGATGCTGGAGAAAAAGGGATGAACTGGGAACTGTCTCTATCCTCCAGATGCTCACACACACCCAAACTGCAGTGACAGAGCTGAGTGTGAGTGGCCCTCAGACCCAAATTCTAGAGGTCAGGTCGGGACAGGAAGGTGGGGGAGGAGCAGTGGGAAGCCGGTCAGGCAGGAGCTGATGCCTGACCGGTGACAGGCAAGCGTCATCCAGATGAAGAAGAAGAGGTGTTCCCGGCAGAAGCCATGGCAGTAATGCGGGAAAGGTGGAGACGGGCAGAGCGTGGCGTGTTCCTAGACCTTCTGCCCCTCTTTGGGTGGTGTCAGCCCCAAAGCTAAAATAAGCTGACTTTATTCATTTAGTGAAAACGGCTGCCAGTGTCGTTGGAAAGCCCCTCCAAGGTGGAACTTGGATCTGTGAGAATGTTTGCTCTCCCTGAGGCTGTGATCCCAGCCTGGCGTTCCCGTGACGCTGAAAGAAGGGAAGCTTTGTGTGTATTTATTCCTTCATCTCCGTGTTGCTATTGAACAAGCAGAAACCACCCAAGGGTCCACAAATAAGTTACAAAATCATGGCATACGGGTGTCTTGGCTGCCATTAGGGGGCTAACCATGAAGACTAGGTAGCAAAGGGAGGATGTATTTCAAATGTAACGACTCCCAGTGAGGAATTCTGGTGACAGTCGTACAAAGAGGGAGTGCCTTTTGATCGAGATTGAAAGGCACCTGGGCAAAATGCAGGTAGGTATGTTAGAGAGACTACACTGATTGTAGTTTTTTGTTTGAGCAATAAAACGTGGAAGGAAACAGAAAGAATAGCCAAGACGTATGCTGTCTTCTCCATCCCGCTCCCTCTGTCTCCATCCATCTCCATCTCTCTCTTTCTCTTTCACACACGCACCGTTCCTCCACAGGAGTTCATTTCTGTGACTCCGCAGTTGTAAACTGCCCCCCTCTGCCCAGCATGATTTGTCTCCACACAGGCGTCAGGAGAGACCAGCGGGCTTCAGGAGACAGACAGAGTAGCTGAGATCTTGGAAGCCGTCACCTACACTCAAGCCCCGGTGAGTACTGGATGCTGTGCCATGTCCTCTTAGTTGGCTTTTAGGGGGCTAGGCGATATCAGAGAGTACCCAGAGTCCCGGTCTGACGTCTCTGTTTTCAGAACTGTGACTTCATTAGACAGTTCACCTGGGGAGGTCAGGAAAACCCTGGCCAATGGGCATTTTTCAAAATCCCAACTGCAGGGGAACACTGTTACCTGGGTGCCACCTGTGCTGTGGCCATGAGAGGGCTGTCCAAAGGTGAACTTTGTGCTCTATCACCTCCCAGCTGTGTGAGCTTAGGTGACTTACTCAGCCTCTCTGAGCCTCAGCCCCTCTCCCATAAAACAATAATCAGCGTGCTATCTCATGAGGTCCTTGTGAGGTTAGATGAGGCCATGCAGGGGCAGGGCTCGGCCCAGTGCCTGGCACAAGGGAGGTGGCCCTGAACGGTGGCTGTTGTCACATTTGCTCAGGGCTCTGGCTGTGAGAAGGAAGTTGGGGCCCCCACTCCTATGAGATGCAGAGTCCTCCCAGGAGCTCGTTTCTGGCCCCATGGGAAAGGCAGCCATCCTCCCAGTGGTGTGGGCCTCCTCCCTCCTGGGAATGTGCCCCGTGGCCAAGACAAGGAAGTGGTTTTGAAAGCACTGAATCAGACTGTGGAGACACCAAGGAGCCTGTTGTAATGAAAACAGCCGGCACTGTCTGAGTCACTGAGCACAGAAGCCCCAGCCATCTCCTCGACTGGTCTGGCTCAGCCTACAGACTCATCTCTGATAGAAGGAAGCAGGGAGCTAGAAATAAGGTGGGGGCTCTAAATTATAGACCTCCAGTGACAGAAGGGTGGGTGGTGCAGAACAGGACCAGAGTCTGTTAGTGTGGGAGGGACTTTAAGGTCACCCCTTTCTGTTCAGATGTGTACAGAAAACTGCCCTTTGTACAAATGAGCGAACTGAGGCCCAGAGAGGGAAGGAGACTGGCCCTAGGGTGTGTGGCTGAGCTGAGGCTAGAGCACAGGTCCCCTCATGCCCCATCAAGGGTTCAGGCCGTGGCCCTGTGCTGCAGGCCTGGGCGGTGTTGCAGGGGTGCATCCTCAGGGCCACAGCCGATTTGGGGGTAGCTGAGATGGAGAAGGTCAAGGGTCCAAGGTGCCCGCCTAGGTGGTGACTGGCGGGTGGCTTCTCTGGGCAGTGTTGCAATCCTCTGTGTCCATCAGCCCTTGGCCACCCCACTGGCATGTCCAGGGCATAGGGCAGCAGGGCACAGAGCCGTGGTCCCCTGGGCTTTCTAGCCTGACGCTGCCCCCCGCCCCCAGGGTACCAGAGGGACGGAGAGGAAAGGGGAGTGGGGCTTAGGAGCATGAGATGTCATGGAGGCGGGTGCTGGTCAGGGAGGGCTGTAACCTTCTTTGCAGGGTGGTGTTTTCCATTCATTCCCCAGAGGAGGCACTGAGGTAAACGCAAGTGAAGTGCTTTGCCCCGGGGCTGCCCAGCCTGGAGGTGGCAGAGCCAGGTCTCCAGCCTGGACCCAGGCTGCTATCAGTCATGTCACCCCCAGCTAGGGACTTCTCCCTTTCACCCTCTCCTGGAAGGCTCCCCTCCCTGGCCACCCGCCTTGCCCCGCCCCCTCCAGGGTGGGGGAATTACTCTCCTCGGCTCCGACATTCCCCTCCCCTCTCTGTCTGGCTTCTCTCTTGGAATGAATCTCACTTGCCTGTCCTCAGCCTTTCCAGCCCTGCCGCCCTCCAGGACACAAGCCATGACTAGCGAACTGAATCATGGACTGCCTGAGCAATCAGGGCCTTAAAAAGCCAGGCCCTCCTGGCCTCCTTCCCCATTTAGGGTAGGAGTCCCTGCTCCCCAATTCTTCCCCCTGCTAAGTCAGCATCTGCTGACACACCTTTCCATTTCTGGAAAGTTCTGTCTTTGCCGAGTTAGAATTAATACCTTAGGGTTCTCAGCCCTGGCTGTGCATCAAAGTCCTGAGCGTGTGTGTGTGTGTGTGTGTGTATGTGTGTGTGTGTGTGTGTGTGTGTGTGTGTGTGTGTGTGTTTATTTATGTGTCCATATGTGTCTGTGTGTATATATGTCTGTGTGTGTATGTATGTGTACTTGTATGTGTTGTGCGTATGTGTGCGTGTAGGGGTGTGTGTGCTGGGGGAGGGTCTTAAAAAAAGCCTCTTGCCTGTGCTGCATACCTGGACATTCAGATTCAGTAGGTCTGGAGTAAAATCTGATGGTCCATACTTACACAAAACTCTGCAGGTGATTCTGCGCCACAGCCAGGACCTCTCTTCCACCCACACCCAAATGCTCACAGATTCCCAACACACCACACCCTTTCACTCCTCATCTGTGCCTTGGCTCCTGCAGGTTCTGTTTGCCCGGAGGGCCCTTGCCCACCCCTGTCTCTGCCTGGCCAATTCCCACTCCTTCAGGATCCAGTCCATAGCCCATCATTGGAGGCCACGGCCACGCTGCCCTCCTCACGCGTGACTCTCACTCCGGCAATCCCAAGTGTCACATTCATCACAGTTAGTTGGGTCTGGGTCTGCATCTCCCCTGTAGTCCAGCAGTTTAAGGACAGATGCCCTTCTTATTTACTCACTTCTATATCCTGGGGATCAGCCAAGACATGGCACACAGTAGGGCCTCAGGAAATATGTGTTGAACGTGGGCCAGCAAATTACAACTTTTTTTTTTTTTTTTGTGGTACGCGGGCCTCTCACTGTTGTGGCCTCTCCCGTTGCGGAGCACAGGCTCTGGACGCGCAGGCTCAGCGGCCGTGGCTCACGGGCCCAGCTGCTCCGCGGCACGTGGTATCTTCCCGGACCGGGGCACGAACCCCTGTCCCCTGCATTGGCAGGTGGACTCTCAACCCCTGCGCCACCAGGGAAGCCCAAATTACCACATTTTAATTAAAAACTCTTAAGGCTTGACATTCCCATTTTGTCACAGGCCACACTGGTTCTCCATTCACACTAACGCCTGAAAACCAGCAGCAGCCTGTTGGAGACAGGACACCTGACCCTGACTGCTGAGGGTCAGCTCACCAGCTCTGCCCTGAACCCAGGCTTCATGGCTGCCTTGTTGGGGTTTTGCCAGAAGAGGTTTTTAGCTGAGAGGCTGGAGTTGGTGATTTCATATAACTCAAACTTTGCCACCTTGAGTTACTGAGCTCAGCCCACCCTTACCTGACTGTCCTGTGTTTCCCGTACGCTCACCTGCCCTACCTGCCTCATCTCAAATCCCAAGCCCCTTATAAAGCCACTTGGCTTCCAGCCACCAGCAGTCTTGCTCCAGGCTACGGAACCATGGTAAAGTGGCTTCCCCCAACCCTTGGCAGGGAGAGGAGAGGAACCTGCCTGGGGCAGGGGTCCTTACCGCCTTGCTAGACCACCATGCAGCTGGGGAATGGGGAGTTCTAACTTGGTCTTCTTCCCAGCCTCTCCTTGGTTGGGGGGCGGTGACTGCTTGCTGCTCCCACTATACCCCCCTGGTTCCTGCCTCACTGGGCTTCTTTAGTGCACCCTCCTGGTCTCCTGGCCTAAACTTCAATACCCCAAATCCACGCTCTCATTGACACCAGGGTGAACTCCCTAAAGTACACACCTGCCCACATGTCCCCCATCCTGATACCCAAAGGGACACAGTTTGTTGCCTCTGGTTTAAGGCCAGACTTCTCACCTAAGAGCCAGCCCCCTCCCTCTCTCTGCCTCCCCAGGCTTTATCCCCCTGCTTCCATCCTCGAACCCTGGCCAAGCACAGGTTGTCAGGCCCTGGCAGTGCTGTGTCCTTTCTCACCTCAATGCCTCCTTCCATCCCTGTTCTCTGAAACTGTTCATTCTTCAAGGCTCAACTTCTTGAAGCCTTCCATCTCTGCCCTCACCCTGGAGATTTTAAGGTACAGTAGACTATATCTTTTTCTTAGTACACAAGTATTCCGTATTCATTATGGAAAAAACTACAAGTACAGTTGAGCAAAACGATAGTCACCTTTAATATTAACACCCAGAGAAATCACATCTAGGGATGTTGATGATAGCTACCATTTATGGGCTCATACTATGGGCCTGGCCCTATGCCAAGCACCTCCATGCATTTTATAACTTTTAAGTAGTTATTATTGGCCCCATTTTACGGAGGAGGAAGCTGAGGCTCCGTGAGGTTATATGAGTTGCTCAATATAATATAGCTAATAAGTGGAGAGCTGGGATTTGACTCGAGTTTGGTTATAAGAACTGAACCATTAAATCCTAAGTTATGGGGCGCATAAGAATCTTCCTTGTTCTGATGGACCAGAGAGTCATCATTTATATACTAGGTTCTGACATTAAGGAAATAACCTTCTGTTATTAGTCAGGATAGGTAAGTGATAGGTATGGTAAGAAATTTACCCTGCAATCTTAGTGTCTTAGTTGCTTCGTGCTCATACCACAGGTCCCACACTGGTCGGTAGGATCCCTCCACTCGCCCTAGCCCCCTGAGCTCAGAAAGTGACGAGACTATCTGACCACTAACGAGCCCTGGGTCTCAGGAGCTGCTCCCCGATCCTGGGTCTGGGGATGACCTTTGCTGCCCTTTATCAGGATTTCTGCCTAGCTCTCTGAACTGCTCTGTTTCCAACTGTTGGGGTTTTGGGTTTGTTTGCTTTTTCCTAGTTGGTAAAGGTGGTGAAGACATTGACTGGCTTTGGAAAAGTTACACAGAAGCTGAAGTTTCCTAGAAAGGAAACCATACCCATCTTTTTTTTCATAGGTATACAGGACCAGTGTACCTCTGGGATTGGATTTATACAGCTTTTATTGAGCACAAGCCCCTTCCTCCCTCCCTCCCTCCCTCCCTCCCTCCCTCCCTCCCTGCCTCCCTCCCTCCCTCCCTTTAACGCGTCTTTACTGAACACCTCCTCTGTGCTGGCCTGGGATGCAGGGATCACAGGGATATGGTCTCTGTGCTCAAAGAGCTTCAGCCAAGAGTATCAGAGTCTTGCTGTAAACTGAACAAAATTTAATTACCCTAACATACACCTTTTTTAGGGCCTGGGCGGCCCAGTGATCGCCCAGGTGCACAATAGGCAGGTCTAGGTTTTCTTCTGGGTTTATTCAGCTTTTGTGGAGATACTGTTTTCTCCAGTGATACCCACTGCCGTCTTTTCTGCTCTCCTGCTAAGTAAATCCTTTGGGTCTCATTTCCCCTGCAGTCTAGAGAAGCAAGAGTTGGCCCCATAAACACACCTCCAACCCTGTCTTCTCCCTCTGAGGATGCAGAGCTTTCCGGTGAACCTGTACCTGAGGGGCCCCAGGAAACCACCACCATGAGCACCGTCCCGCACAGCAGCCCCAAGCAAGGCAAGTCCCCGATGCACCTTCATACGCAGTGGGTTTTGTTGAGTGACGACTGGGTGATGTATGTGATAGAGAGCATCTCACTTGAGCTTCCCCTCAACCCCCTGAGGAAGGGACTATAATCACCCTCATTTCCCAAACAAGATGGGGAAATCGAGTCACAGAGAGGTTATGTCACCCAGCCAAGGCTCCACGGCTCCTAAATGGCAAAGCTGGTGTTTAATCTTGGATGCCAGAACTTTTAACCCCCGGACTCCACCCCTCCAGAAGGGCCTGGGGTGTGAAAAGCTTGTGATAATTGTGGCTGCTTATTAAATACCTACTGTGTGCCAAGTGTTTACATACTTCCCCTCCAATCCTGACAACATGTCTACTAGTCGCTAGTATTAGCTAGTATTTTACAGATGGAAAAACGGATGCTTGGAAAGGTGAGTGATGTGCCCACAGTCACACAGCTAGTGAGTGGTGGGACTGAGCCAGCGCCCAGGCCTGACTCCAGAATCCCTACTCTTTCCGGCCTTGGCCACAAACTCGCCGACTCTCTGAGGATCAGGCCATCTAAACTCCTGTTGGCACATGTGGGAATCTAACTGATGGCCAAAGAGGGGCAGACACCCAGGAGGTCATTGGCAGGCCCTGGGGGCAGAGCTGGCCTCCTGACTACCCATCCAGGGCTCTCACCCCTGCCCAGCCATACAGAGGAGCCCTGGCAGAAGCCCAGGATCTGACAGCATCCCCCAGGCAGCAGCATGGCCGGAAATCGGCCTGCATTTTCTGCCCTTTATCAGAGGGGTAACCATTCAAACTGAAGTTACAGCCAACACCAGAGCACTGAGATTTAGGTACAAGGTCAAAAACAACCCAGACTGCCCACATTCACATGTACAGCCCTGGAATTGGTGACACAGAAAATTTAATGACCCAGAGACGTGATCATGGTGTACTCCACAAGAAAAGCAGCTTTCAAAACTATATGTGTGCTGTGACCCTAAATTTGAATATATGTTATTTATATCTATTTATATATAACCATGTAGAGCACTGTGTGTGTGTGTGTGTGTGTGTGTGTGTGTTAGAATAATATACAACAAAATGTTGTGAGTGGTTATCTCTGGGTGGCAGGATTGTAGGTGGTTTTTATTTTCTTTTGTACTTCGGTATTTTATGTCTTCTAAAATCCTATGTATCATTATTCCTTTTACTTCTGTCCTCAGTAAATGAATATTATTTTAACAACTAAACTTGGGAAGTCTGTCTGTGAGAGAAGGTATATAGTACTGAATAGAAAACAATTGTATAATAATTTAATAAAGTTACAATACCAGCAAGGAGTCAGGCTGTAGCCATGGAAAGACCGCTGGATGAGACCCTTTGGACGGAAACCCTGCTCAGACACCTCTTTGCTGTTGGGCGTGGGCAAGCTGCTCAGCGTTTCCAAGCTTTGGATTCCTCCGGCGTCCACTGCGAGCATTCACAACCCCTGCCTCCCGGCTGGATGAGAGGACTGAATGCTGTGGCTGCGGGTGTGGAAGTGGTTTGTGAATTGCACATGCTACTCTCCTGGGGGGAATTAGGATCTCAGAGAGAGGGGCTTAGGAGGGGGCAGAGGCTGCAGGGCCAGGAGGCGAGGGCCTCCCCTAAACTGAGGGGTGAGTGCATAGGAGGCAGGACCCAGACTAAGCACAGCTCGCCTGTTCCCTGGCATGTGCCAGATTACTTCTGTGGCAGACAGAAGGCCAAGCAGAAACAGCAGAGCTGGCTAGAGATCCTCATTCTTGTTGAGCAGACAGCTCAGTGAGGAGGAAGGGGCTGAACCCCGAGCCCTGTCCCTGGCTAGGGAAAGCCTCCCAAGAGTTTTATCCCAAGGGTCCCTGACACCATCTTGGCGTAGGACCTTGGTCCCCCCCGCCCCCAACTCGGTCCTCCAAGGGGCGGGGACTCAGAGGCCTGGGGTCACTCTGCCTGCTAGCACAGCACCCCCTGGTGGTCAGATCAGGGAGGACGAGAGAGCGGTGAGAGACTGACCACTGCTGGGCATTCAGTCTTTTAAGTGCATGTGGGCACAGGGTCCCTTGAATATTTCATCACCTCCCCCTCGACAGTGTCCTTACCATGGGACGTGCATGAGCACAGTGTGTGTGGAAAGGGCTGGCTTCAGGGCCCTCGCAGCCTCTTATGTGGGACCTTGTTCCTTCTCTGCAAGACGGGATTAATAATCACAAGGTGCTAGTGTGCAGATCAGAGCAGGACACACACCGTGGGGTGATAGTGGGGATACTGAAAACGTAGGATTCCTGCCTTGGTTCTGCCCACCTGCTGCGAGGTGGTATGGAGGTGCTTGTGGGTAGGACAGATGGGCCAGCTGGAGACTTCCAGGAGGCAGTGTGTGGGATGTGCTTAGCCTGCAGCCCAGCCTGTAACAGGCAGGCATTCATGTTAGTATAATGTCTTTTTCTTTGCTTTAGGACTCCATTTGTTTTTTTAAATTGCAAAAGAAATATGTGCTTGTGGTAACAGTTCAATCAATGCCGAGTTGTATGAATCAAAAAAATAGTTTCCTTTGATGTCCTCTGGAAGAAACCAATACTGTTAAGTACTGTGGTTTAGCCTAGTATGTGTGGTTTATCTGCACACACATATATACATAATTATCTATATATTTTATATGTTATATATAATAATTAATATATTAATTATATAATGATAATATATATAATGATGATAAAACATGTATCCTCATATATAGTTTTTCTTCCTTTTACAAATGTAGAACCACACTGACAATGAACATTTATCCCTTGTTAACTATATGTCAGGCACTGTCCTCAGTGCCTTTCTTGCATTAGTTTAATTAATCCTTGTAACACATAATCCTCAAAATGACCCTAGGAGATAGGAATTATGATCCCCTCTTTATAGGCAAGGAACCTGAGCCACAGGGTAAATGTCTCGCCACAGGTCACATTCCTAGTAAGTGGCAAAGCAGTGTTCTCACCCTATAGTTGGTGCCAGAGCCTGTGATCGAAACCACCATGTAATACTGCCTTTCGTTGTCAGATTTTCTGCAACATTTTTTCCCTCTTAATCCTGTATTATGGACATCTTTTCAAGTCATAGGTGAAGAGAGACCACATTCTTTTTCATTTGCAAAATGCAGTTATTAAGTGCAAAATGCCTGCTTCCTGTAGGGTCTGGTGAGATCCTGAATGACACACTGGAGACAGTTGATACTGTGGATGGTTCCCCCATTACTGACACTGGCTCGGGGGATGGGGCCTTCCTTCATGTCACTGAAGAGGTAAGTGAATGGTAAATTTCGTCTGAGTCAGTAGTACATTTGCTTGCTTATTTCAGACTTGATGGTGACTTGTCTTGGGCACCATAGAGAGTCACAAGGGTTTTAGTTGAATATCAGGGAGACTGCCTCCCTCCCGCTGGTACAGAGAAGGCGGGAGTCCCAGGGCCCCAGAGTCTCCCCAGGGATGCACCAGGACAGGGGAGGAGAGGCAGGTCCTCAAACCTGCCGGGAGATGCATGCTGGGTTCTCAATCCCTCTTGTTGTGAAGATGCACAGCCTCTTCTGCCCTTTGAGCCCCTTCAAGAGAGAATGAGATTAATTGCAGGTGTGTTTGCTCTATTGTTTGGTAATTGGCTTTTACATTTGCAAAGCCAGTTGTTTAAATGCTGGACACAGGGAGGGTGCCAAATTAAAGCAAATTATGTTTCTCACCTGTGGCCTCTGCTAAAAACCTTGTGTCAGCTCATTCTTTCCCCTATCCTGGGGTGAAAACTCAAGACACTTCTCTCCTCTCCCAGTTACTACCTGGTAACAGCCTATTTTCACAGGTATTTCCAAAATCCCTGCAGCATAATATCAAAAATTCAATAAAAATACAAATATAACCAGGAGCCAGGCAGGGAAGGAAGCATGGTTAGGGATATTTCCTCTCTGTTTTCTTACTTCTTTCTCCTCCCTCTCATCACTCCCCCCCTCACCGAAAGTCTGGCCCACCTGGAGAAAACGACGCCGTTTTTTTGTTTTTTTTGTTTTATTTTTTGCGGTACGCGGGCCTCTCACTGTTGTGGCCTCTCCCATTGCGGAGCACGGGCTCCGGACGCTCAGACTCAGTGGCCATGGCTCACGGGCCCAGCCGCTCCGCAGCACGTGGGATCTTCCCGGACCGGGGCACGAACCCATGTCCCCTGCATTGGCAGGCGGACTCTCAACCACTGCGCCACCAGGGAAGCCCCACGACACAGTTTTATGTGGCTGGTCAGACAGTGATCTGGGCCTTTTGTGGGGAAGATATCTGGCTGCTGGAACATTCTCTCACGGGGACTTTTGTGATTCCTTAGAGGTCCTCCTGCAGGGAATCTAGGACCCAAGTCCATTTTTGGCCTTTTAACTTCCGCCTGGGCTTCCACCCCGTGCTGGTCACGCTGATCCTCTAGGGGGCCCTTTGGGTGGGAGTCCATCTCCAGATGGCTTAGCTGGCTCCCTTTGGAAGGGTCATATCAGTCATTCACCAGGAAAACAACTGCAGAGCAGATGTCTCTGTCTCTCTCTCTTGACTCTGTCTGGATGGCTCCCTGCTTTTGCCTTTGGTATTTCCCTAGAGGGAATCAAACACCAGTCCCTTTGCCTCCCAAAGTCCAAACACTACATACCCAGCTCACCAAATGGTTTGTGGTGGGGGCCGGGGGGAGCCACAGCACGCAGAAAATTGTCTCCAAAGGAATTCTTACAAAAGTCTCTAAGCACTCAACCCCTAAATGAGTTCTTTACCTTTTCTTACATAGCCGAAGGCAGGTGGTGGGCGAATGCTGATAGAACTGATTCCATTTCATTCTCTTTGCCTGTCCCATGTAAGTCGTCTGGCTCCTTTTTTTAGAACACGGAGGTTACCTGAGGCTTATGGAATTGTACTTTGGGGCTTTAGCTGACATTGAGTCAGAAAAAAAATCTCATTTTAAAATCCTATGACATCATCTTTTCTCTGTTTTGAGGGGACAATAATTCTGTAAGGATTTGATGTTATATGGAAAAATGGTTCTATAGGCCAGTAAGTTTGGGGAATGATCCACTCTGTATTCTTCTTACAGAGAAGGCTCTGAGAAGTCCTTCAGCAAAGAAATATGTCTAACTCTGATCAGCCTAGTGTTTTTAGTATCCAAAAGAACTACATTTTTGGGGGGTTCCCTGGTGGCCTAGTGTTTGGGATTCCAGGCTTTCACTGCCGGGGCCAGGGTTCAGTCCCTGGTCGATCCCGCAAGCCATGAGGTGTGGCTGAAAAACAAAAAAAAAACCCAAAGAACTACTTTTTGCAGCAAAATGAAGCAAAACCCCACCCAAATTTTTTTAAAAAACAAACCTTTGTGAAACATAAAACATAGTCGGTTTGGTGACACCAACAGCCAAAGCTGCTCTCTGTTGCCATTTCCTGCATCTGCTGTGTAACCTTCAGAGAATCTGCCTGTGAATTTCCCGCGGAAACTGAGTCACAGGGAAAGAGGGGGGTGTCCAGTCTGGAGAAGGCTGATGAGGGCGGGGTTGCCACCTGCGTACCGCTGGAGCACCGTCATGGACGAAGACACTTGCCCTGTTCTTATGGCTCCTGGATGCGCACGTAGGGGAGGTCACAGGGAGGAAGACAGGTCTAGATTGAAGTGTCTAGCGCTATAGCAGGAGGCATAACTATATGTGTCTCGGGAGGCACTGATCTCCCAGTCACTGGTGTGGCAAACAGATGCTTGGAATCACATGGGAGACACATGTGCCTTGCAGTCTCTCCTGCCACAGGGATTCTGGGACTGTTGTGGAGCTGGGGTAACATCACAGATAACAAAGTGCCTTGAGGAAAGAAGCTACAGAAATGCAAGCGGCCGGAGGACACAGGCAGTCAGTCTTCTCCAGCCACAGCCACCTTGCTCGGGGGCATGGGCAAGTGACGTGGTCCCTAGTGATGCCTTTGTTCCCAGGGTCCACATATGGAAGAAGGTTTGGCAGCAACAGCAGCAGCTGGGGAGGCCGAGGTGTCCATCAGCACTGCCAGGGAAGCAGAGGCCGGCAGTGTGCCCACTGAGGGACTGACCCTCTCCATGTCCACCAAGCACCCTGGGGAAGGGGTCACTCTGGTAATTAGCTCAGAGTACATGCTCTGCTTCACTTGCTTTTGGAGTTTGGTTGCATCTCAGGTGGGAGCAGTCACTGGCCTTCCTCACCTCTTTGCAAAGGACAGAGTGACATCCTTGTGGGGCCGAGTCCCAGTAGACACTGATTTAGAGGCCGAGGCCTCTGTTGACTCATTCAGCAGGTGTTTGTGGAGTGCTGTGCTGAGCTCCAGGTGAATAGGATAGACCCAGCTCCTGGGAACAGAGAGGGAAGAGGGACAATAGAAGCACAGGGGAGCATCAAAAGGGGCCCAGAGCCCAGACTCGGGGGGCCAGGAAGCCTTCCTGGGGAAAGGAGGCTGAAGGCGAGACCAGAGGGATGCTTAGAAGTGATGGGGTGAGACGTGTGTTCGGGAGGTGAGCCAGAAGGAGCAAAGGCCTAGAGGCATCAACAGGAGCACACACAGACCTAAACAAGCGCAGCATGGCTGTGGGGCCCGGTGTGAGCAATGGGAAGGGGAAATGTGGCTAGAGAAGCCTCTGAGACCGTGGACGCCGTGAGACGGAGCCTGAGTGTCCAGCAGAAATGGGAAGTCACTGAAGGGTGTTTTTTTTTTTCCCAGATTTTATACATGCTCTTTAATTTCAGCTTTCAGTAAAGCATGAGTGACCTCAAACTCAATTATTTGATCTTAGCTCATTTTCCTTTAAATAATATATAACTTTTATTTATTTTTGCTCTCATTTTTACTTATTTATTAAAAATATTTTTTGCTCTCATTTTTACTTATTTATTTAAAAAATTTTTTATTAGAGTGTAGTTGCTTTACAATGTTGTGTTAGTTTCTGCTGTATATACAGAAGTCAGAGTGAATTAAGTCAGAAAGAGAAAAGCAAATATCGTATATCAACGCAATATGTGGAATGAAGTGTATTAAAGCAGGAAGTGATGTAGTCACAGTAGGATCTTAGAAAGATTGGGGGAAGCAAGCCTCGGGGGGAGGGGGTGGGTTTGGAGGCTGTGTCTAGGTCTGGGTCAGGGGTGGTATTTTCTTGCTCTGGGAGTGGCCAACGATGTCACCTCCTGCCAAGAGTCCCAGTGAGTAAAGGCCTGGAAAGCATCTATTGGATCTGTCACCACAATGATCAGTAACCTCGGGGAGGGCAGTTTTAGCTTCCTCTGGCCACAGCACAGCGGATCAGTGATGGGGCCCCTTTGTGACGTCTTCCTATTCAGGGTCCAGATAACGAAGAAGGTTCAGCAGCGACAGCAGCAGGGGAGGCCGAGGTGCCCGTCAGCAGTGCCGGGGAAGCAGAGGCCAGCAGTGTGCCCAGCGGGGGACTGACCCTCTCCATGCCCACTCAGGACCCTGGGGAAGGGGTCACTTTGGTAAGGAGTATAACGTGCTGGAAAGTTGAGGTCACAGTTGGGAGCGGATCCTGGCCTTCTCAGGGGGCCGGTCTCCATTCTGTTCAGCAAATCCAGAAGAACCTGAATGGGGAGGGGACACCTCTCTGACCAAATACTCCCTCAGAGGTGGAGTCTGCCGGTGCCTGGTGAGTGTACTGTGGGCCCTGGAGGCGTGGGCATAGCGCAGGCTGATGCAGGGCTCGGGAGCTGGGGTGGAGGAGTGCTGGGTGTGAGCAGAGGAGGTGATGGCGGGCATCACCATGCCCGTTTCTGGGTGCAAGCACAGGTTGTCAGAGCTCAGTGGAGGGTCCAGGTGCAGGCAGGCCCTGGCGGGGTCCAAGGGCATGGCCAGGCCTTCTCAGCCCTCTCCTCAGGCCTCACGGAGACACTGCTCCCAACTCCTGAAGACAGGATGCAAGTATCCTAGGACACTCAGACTCAACAGATTCAAACCTAGACTCCTGTCTCCACTCCTTTTGTGTTCCCATCTCAGATGATGGAACCATCATCCCCCAGCTGCCTAATCCAGAATTCTCTTCCCTCTTCCTTACTTCCACGTTCTGTCACATGTCAAGTCTTGTTGATTTTTCTACCCCAGCACATCACAGATCTGCCTCCTTCTACCCTTCTCCAACGCCAGCCCCCTGTACCGAGACACCGCATCCCCAGCCCAGGCAATGGTTAAGGCCCTTCCTGGCCTCCTCCATCCTCTCTGCCCCCGGCTCCTCCTGGTGGGGGCAGCCCTCTGTGGACCATTGTCCTTGCTGCAGACCCCGCTCCCGCACCTGGCCTCCACGGCTTGCAGGGTCTGGCCTCGCCAGCCTCTAGGGCCACATCTTGGGCCACTGTCCCTGCTTTTGGCGCTCCAGCGTCACTGGCCTTCTTTCAGTTTCTTGAGCATACCTATTTCCTTCTTGCCTTAGAATCTTCCCACATCCTCCCCTCTCTGCCTGGAACCTTTTCCTCCTTCTTCTTCCCTCCTTTAATTCCTGCTTGTCCTTTAGAGTTCAGCTCAAACACCGCTTCATCAGGGAGGTGCCTCCCAGGCTGTGAAGTCTCCCTGTTAGACACATTCACGGTACCCCAAACGTCTCCTCGGAAGGCCTCATCACAACTGGCTCCCTTCCAGGCTGGAGGCTCTGTGAGGCCAGGGATCACATACATCTTGCTCATTGATCTGTCTTCATCCCAGCTGATGTTGGGGACTCAGTAGATGTTTGCTGAGTGAGTGAAACGAGGGGGTTGTCAGGCCATCACATGTCGACACTGGCCTTTGAGATCATTCCACACATTCACTCCCAGCCCTTCACCTCTGGTCTAATGTCCAGACAAGGAAACCTTACAGTGGGGAAGGTATGCCCTGGCCACGTGACGGAGCTCCCAAGGCCACTTGGCAGTTACATGGATTATTGTAATTAACAAATCATCACCACCACCTTCTCCTGCTTCTTCTTCCTCTTCTCTTTCTTCTCCTTCATCTCTCTTCCCTCCCTCCTTACCTTTCCTTCTTCTTTAAAGGCAAATCCCTTGTCACAGGGTGAGAAAACTAGGGTTCAGGTCCCAGTTTTACCAAGTCTTTACTCAACAGAAATTAGAACTTAACTAGCAGAGCTGTCTGGAGATAGAAGGGCTTCCTGCGGAGGTAGGGAGTGCCAGTTCCTGAGGATGCGCAGGTTTGGGCCAAAGCACGCGGCAGAGGTGTGCTGGAGGGTACTCCGGGGCAGGGAGGGGATGACCTGAGAGGTGTGTGATGGCCTCAGCAGGTTCCTCCCCATAATCACACACCCACCAACCAGGGGTGTGGATGAAGTGTCATGATCCCTTATGCCAATTTCATTTCAGGGTCCAATCAGTGAAGAAAGCTTAACAATAGCTACAGCAAAAGTGCCCCTCAGCACTTTTGAGGAAGAGGAGGCCAGCGGGTTCCCCACTGATGGCCTGGTTCCCCTCACAGCCACAGCGGCCCCCAAGCAAGTAGTCACTTCTGTAAGTGTCTCCTAGCATCCTCTCTGGCTCACAGTGGGAAGAGAGGTCAGGGTCACGAGACAGGAGCAGTTGCCGGCCTTCCCAGAGCCAAATGCACAGGCAGCTTCGTTAGAGCATTTATCTGGGTCGGCACCAACCAGAGGGAGGCAGGATGTAACTGAAGGAGCATAGCAGAGGGGGTCAGGAGAGCAGGCTTTGTCCTGACCCTCTACCCCCATCTTTGTCCAAGGAGAACTTTCTCGGAATGTGGTCCAAAGTTAGACAGCATTGCTGGGGTGAGAGGCAGTAAGCACCGTGACTGGGGAGGGGGTTTAGAGGAGATGCATGTTTCAGAAGGGGATTATGAGTCTGTGCTTCTGTGAGTGTGTTGGGTGTAATGACAGTTGTAGGTAGGGAAGTGCTTTGAAATTGGGCTAGTGCCACTGAAAGGAAAGTCAACGAAACTCCCCAGCAGCAGTGTGCACGTTGCATCATGGGTGAGGTGACTTGATTCATCGTGTTGGTTTGGTTTCTCAGGGTCCTGGTGATGAAGACTTAGCGGCAGCCACAACAGAGCAGCCCCTTCCCACGGCTGGGGCAGAAGAGTTGGGTGGCGCTCTCCCTGAGGGGCCCCCGCTTCCCATACCCACAGTAGTTCCTGAAAGAGGAGTCCCTCCGGTAAGTGAAGATTTCATTTTGCATAGAGGCATGAATATTTGACTTGGCTGGTCTTACAGAGGAGAAAACGAAAGACCAGAGGCATGGGAGGGGCCTGCTCCTGGCTTTCCTAGAGGGAGGTTTTCATTTTGGTTCGCAAAATGCAGAATTTGGGGTTTTGAGGGTCCTCCAACCTAGGAACGCACAAGGAAGCTGCAGTTTGTGGAGAAGAAGAAGCAAGAGGTAAAAACCTAGGGCACCTGGCTTTGTGTCCCAAATTGCCCACTTCTTTAATTGGAATGAGAGCTTTCTAACAGGCAGAGCTGCCTAAAGATACAAAGGCCCATCTCAAGTGTCATTAGATTCCATCCTGGAGGTGGGGAAGCTTGTAAGATGTGGCAGGGACTGTAGAGGAAATAGAAGCATCAGAGGTGTGTTTGTGTGTGGGGGGGGGAGGGGGCAGAGGGTCACCTTCAGGTCCCTTCCAACACGAGTTTTTGGGTTGCAACTGTACGACCTCACGCAAATCCCTTTCTTTGGGCTTCAGTTTCCTCATCTGTAGAAGAGGGTGGCTGTGAGGTCAAGTCAGAATGCAGGTCAGGGAATGTTCGGAAAGTTCTATGCACAGGTGCGAGGTTGTCACCACTTAAGGGCTGTGACTTTGTATTTTAGAAGTGGGAAACCCAGAGCTGGTCCTCAGCATGGGCTTGTGTGAACTGGGGAATTAAATTGCCATTTAAGTGTCAATACATATATATATATATATATATATATATATATATATATTTTTTTTTTTTTTTTTTTGCGGTACGCGGACCTCTCACTGTTGTGGCCTCTCCCGTTACGGAGCACAGGCTCTGGACGTGCAGGCTCAGCGGCCATGGCTCACGGGCCCAGCCGCTCCGCGGCATGTGGGATCTTCCCGGACCGGGGCACGAACCCGTGTCCCCTGCATCGGCAGGCGGACTCCCAATCACTGCGCCACCAGGGAAGCCCTAAGTGTCAATATTTTTAAAGGAAAGAATTTGATTGGTGACCAGCTTGGGCCTCCCAGTTCCCCGAGCAACACTTGGTCACACATGCTTTCAGAGCCTTGACTCAAATTACAGACATGTGGTCCCTTGGCCACAGCGCTCCAGGGCTGACCTGGGATGGGAGGGCTGTGGAACAGGACACCGGAGAGCTGGCTGTGAATCCTGAATGCCCACGGCTGCAGCGCCCGGCGGTCATTAAGCACTGCTTGGTCTCTTTATTTTTTATTCATTCACTCATTGATGTTCTCACTGACTCAGTGCATAGCAACTCAGGGCCCTCAGTCCATACACTTGGAGATTGAGATGAGTATGACCTCGTCCCTGTCCCCAAGGAACTCACAGTCCAAGGGGCTGGAAATAAGCCTTTTGCACTGACATTTATTAAGCACTCTGGGTTCCAACTTGATCTGATTCTATGCACACCACCACTCTCTGGTACAAGGAGAATCGTCTCCATTTTCCAGGTGAGGGGAGTGAGACTTAGGTAAAGGAACCTGCCTGCTGTGGCACACCCTTAAGAGCAGGGCTGGGATTTGAACCCAGGCGTGCTGGCCTGCAGAGCTCATGCCCTAGAGCATCCCCGAGAGTGTGGTATGGTGGAGAGGTCCCAGAATGGGAGCCGGGAGGCTGAGGTTCTGACTTGTGGTGAGTCTTGGTGTTGCTGTCTATAAAAAGAGGAGGTGAGCGAGAGCTCTGGTTTTTAACCTTTTCTTCATCTTAGAGACACCTGGGAAGCTTAGGCCACTGCAGGTGACCGAGTTCACTGCCAGACCAGTTGAGGAGCCCCTGGTGCTGGGGCTCATGCTCCCAGGAGACTCTACTGGGCAACAAACATGGAACCCACCAGGCTGGCTGTGATGCCTGTGGCCCTGGGCTCGCTAAACAGCCCCCCTGCTCCTCTGCTTCTCACCCCAAGGGACACACAAAACACCAAGACTGCATCTCGCCACGGTGATGCCACATCAGGTGTAGCAGCACTGGCTGGCGAGGCACCTTCACGTAGAGCCAGTTTTCCTTTTTCTTTTTCTAAAACTTTTTATTATGGAAACTCTAAAAATTCACAAAAGGACTTAGAATAGTATAATAACCCCCCCACATACACATCACTCAGCAACATTACGCGAGTCGTCCTTTATCTGTTCCACCTCCTACAGCCATCTTTTTGGAGTGGAGGGAAGGGGAAGACTGGGGTATTTTAAAGCAAATCCCAAACACTGTATCATTTAACTCATAAACGTGTTAATGTGCATTGTTAATAGGTTGACCTGGGACCTTTTTTTCCCCTTAGCCACAGTGTCATCCATCAGTGGTAATAATGGATGTCATTATCTATCTAACAAAATTGACAGTGGTTCCTTCATATTATCTAATACCCTAGTTATTTAAAAATGCCTTTTTGCACTTAGTTTGAATCTGCATCCAAACAAGGTCTACTTTGTGTTTGGTTGATGTGTCTCTTAAGTCTCTTTTGGTCCATGATTGCTTCCCACCTACTTTGTTCTTTTTGCCATTGATTTATTGGGAAACCTGGTTCAGTTGTCCTTGGATCCTTTATATTTTGTGCTTTCAGAAGCTGGCACTTGGTGAGGGCCTGGTGAGACCAGCTATGCTGGTGACAGTGTCAGTGGTTTACTACTGCTGAGAAGTTCTTGATCAACACATATCAACACCATAAAGCTGCATATTGTTGACCCAGACACTTTTGTTCTAGGAATCAATCCTAAAGGAGATAGTCTGTTGTGTAAAAAGGCTTTGTGTACATGGATGTTAATCTCAGTATTGTCCATAATGGAAAAAAACTAGACACAGTTTAACTAGCCAACAATAGGGGAGTTAACTGAATTAAAGGATGTTCAAATAATGGAACATTATGCATCTATTAAAATTATACTTTTTAGGAGTATTTAATGATGGAGGAAAATACTTACCATATAATGCTAAGTGGAAAAAAAGCTGGTTATGAATTTCAATATACTGACTGGGCTGACCCTGGAGGAGTCCTAGCCTAGTGGGACCAACACACGCACAACTGAGCTTCAAGTCAGGTGGTCCTACTGTGGTCTTAACTATTTAAAAATAGACACATGCAAAAACCCTGGAAGGAAATACCTTCCCTAAATGTCGGCAGTTGTGGCCTTAAAGTAGTAGAACTGTGAGGGTTGGTAGGTTCCTAATACATTGTGGTTTTTCCGTCAAGGGGGCTTCTGACTTTTCCAATGAGATGTTTAAAAAATTTTTTTTAAATTTTTCTTTTTTGGCCTCTCCATGTTTGCAGGGGTCTTAGTTCCCCGACCAGGGATTGAACCCGGGCCACGGCAGCGGAAGCACAGAGTCCCAACCACTGTACCTCCAGGGAATTCCCATCCAATGAGATTTTTAAAAAGCTCCAAGAAGAGAGAGAGAGGGAGAGAGGTGTGGGGAGAAAATTGAAAGAGAGAGACGAACATGCAGGATTTCATCGTGGCACATAAGTAATGAAGATAGATCACCCTAAGTGCCTGTGTCAGGAATTTGTGATGAATTGAAATGGGTGCCCCAATTCCTGAGCAGACAGTTTAATAACACAGTAGGGACAGTCATGGGAGTACCCACTCTGGAATATCTTTTGGATCATTTTGAATCTCAGAGTCACCGAAGGCAGTGGGTGAGAGGGGCATTCATGTCTGGCTCTGCCACACCCCTCTCTCTGTTTATTCATGTATAAAATGGGGATTGTAGAACCTTCTCTCTGAGATGTGGTGAGGATTAAATGAATTAATACATGGAAAACTTTACCTGGCACATAGTACACGCTCAACAAATTAGGTATATAGAACTCCTGCATAAGCCTCCTCTTGAAATAAGCACAGTTTCTGGAGAGAGGAGGGGAGTGGGAAGGGGTGTCCAGTGTTCCACTGACATCTTGTTCTCTTTAGGGTGAAGCTGGGGAGGGGCTTCCTGACCCCCTTGGACCTGCTGGACCCACGGTGAGATTCCCACCCGGGGTTGTCACATGCACAGTGTGCAGGGGATGGGGATGCACAAAACAGCCACAGGCGGATCCTTCCCATCTGCCCCCAAGTGCCCTCCAGTCAGAGCTCAGTTCTCTTTCCTGTAGCAGGACTCTCTCAGAGAGTCCAGGAGCAGAAACTATTTACATCCCATTTATATCCTGTGCCCTGAAAGACCCCCAGATCCCTCAAACTAAGCACATCCCAAACTGAACTTGTCACCATGCTCCCAGGCCTGCTCTCCCCCCAGGGTTCCCCTGCTCTGGGAATGGTACCCCATCTTCCTGATCATGAAGAGAGAAGCCAGGAAACATCCTCGAGTGCCCCCCCTCAATTCAGTCAGTCCTGAAGCCCCCAAGTCTAGCTGTGCAGCACCTCCTCATCCCTTGGATGCTGGCAACAGCCTCCTGTGTCCTTACCTTTATGTCATCACCCCCCTTCTCCCACCTACATGCCCACACTGCCACAACCTTCCTAAACTCAGCTCTAACCCCTAACCCAGCTCTTCCTTATTCGATGATTGAATTAGGCCTTGCCTGGTTCCCATCTTCAGGAACTGAGTACCAGAAAGGTGTTTTGGAAGTTTCCTTTTGTTCTTTGGAGGAATTTGATGGTATTCAACAAGTACATAGTGAGTGCCTTCTCAGTGTCAGATCTCATGCTGGACACTGGGCACCCAGAGGTATCTCAGGATTGGGCCGACCCTGGAGGAGTCCTAGCATAGTGGGACCAACACACGGACAACTGAGCTTCAAGTCAGGTGGTCCTACTGCCAAATCCAGACCCCCGCAGTGGCTGGTGGGAACACAGAGTAGGAGAGGTGAATTCTCTCTGCAAATGGGGTTGGGCAGGGCTCCATGGAGGAGGTGACCATGGAACTGGGCCTTGAAGGATGAGTAGGAATTTGAAAGGCAGCAGAAGAGGCTGTGAAAGAGTGTCCTGTGTTTGAGGACTGGCTGTGTGTTGGCCGCACAGCTGGGAGGGGGAGAGGGAGGAGGGCAGCTGTAGAGGGGACCGGGAGAAAAAGCCAGAAGGAAAGTCGGCAGCAGCAGTTATAGGGCCACAGAATATGGGAAAACTTTCAGTGACACAGCTGTCACTTGGAGAGTAGCAGGTGAAACCAAGCCATGGGAACTTTTTCTCTGTACAGGTGGGAGTGGAGGCTGAGGGCTCCAGCCTGGGCTGGGGCTTGGACGTCGGCTCTGGTGACCCAGTGCCCAGCGAGGAGCTGTTAAGAGTAAGTGTGAAGGGTTAAACAGCCTGGTGTCGGGGGCAGCCTTCATGAGGATCCAGGAGGGAGGGACAACAGGGGCCGATAGCAGATGAAAGCAGATTGCCACCGTTGATAACTTTTTCCGCTGATGGTGGGCTCCTGGGACTCACTATACTTTCCCCTCTATATTTGTATATGTTCGGCATTTCCGTCTTCCATCAGTTTTAAGTGAGTCTGAGCCTTAGTTTATAGTCAGGAGCCCCACTTGGCCACTTGCCTCCTTCCCCCGGTAGCCTTCTCCAGCAGGCTCTTTCACAGCAGGTATGCCCATGACCTTCACCTCTACCACCTGGCTCTGCCCCCCACCCCCTTACCCATTACAGAGACCTGCTGGCCTCTTCTCTAGATAGCATTTCACACTTTGGCTTCCAGACCCTTCTCAAAATCCTTCCTACCCTGAGGCGGCCCCCTCCCTACCTCTCTAGACCACTCATTCTGCCTCTTTGGCACCTCTTGCTCTCCCAGCCTCTTGCCCAAGGCTGGGCCCCCACTGGTCCCTCTAGATTTCCCCCGGGAGCACCTCTCTTCTCAGCTGCATCTCGTGCCTCTGTCCCCAGGGCCCCAACCTCATCTCCATCCCTTCCTCTGAGCCCTTGTGCTGAATCCCCACCTAGAAGGCTCCACTCGGCTGCCCTTCTGCTCACTCATCATGACAGGGCTGGAAGGGTTCAGGACTCACTGGATGAGTGGAGCGGGACCCAGCTGGGACTTCCAAGCTGGTGGCATCAGCCAACCCAGCCTGAAGCTAAAGAGACTAGTACACTGCAGGGATGTTTTTAATAAGGGTTAACAATAGGCAGTTTTGGACTAACCTCTCAGGTAATCAGAAAACTAAATTAGAGCAACTCTGAGAATTCCAACACATTATATTTTTATTATGTACATACATCTAGGGAGAAAACATGATATAATGCGCTTAAAAAGACCTGGATTCACATCCCAGCTCTTCTCCTAATTAGCTGTGTGTGTGAGCTCTTGGGCAAGTCACAACATGTCACTAAGCCTCGGTTTCCCCATCTTCTAAGTAGGAATACCAGTCTCTACTTGTAGAGTTGTTTTCAGAAATGGAGTGAATGGAACATATATATTTGTCCCCTCCTGCACTGTTTCTTAACAAGGTGTCTATTTTTAGGGTCCTCCAGGTCCCCCAGGCCCACCTGGCTTACCTGGGATTCCAGGAAAACCAGGAACTGATGTTTTCATGGGACCCCCTGGATCCCCTGGAGAAGATGGGCCTGCTGGTGAACCTGGTCCCCCGGTAAGCTGCCGAAGCCATTGCCCCCCGCCCCGTGCCTATGGGGCTTCCTTTAGCCAGGGAGGGGGTACAGACTGCAGACCCCAGCGCTAAGGCTTACGACAGGGAGCGAGGAGCTAGTTAGCGTTTGTAAACAAATTCCTCCTCGGCTGAAACATTACTAAGACTCATAAGAAGCAGCAGCCAGGCTTCCCTGGTGGCTCAGCGGTTAAGAATCCGCCTGCCAATGCAGGAGACACGGGTTCGAGCCCTGGTCCGGGAAGATCCCACATGCAGCAGAGCAGCTAAGCCCGTGTGCCACAACTACTGAGCCCGCGCACCTAGAGCCCGTGCTCCACAACAAGAGAAGCCACCGCAATGAGAAGCCCGTGCACCGCAGCGAAGAGTAGCCCCTGCTTGTCGCAACTAGAGAAAGCCCGCGAGCGCAATGAAGACCCAGCACAGCCAAAAATAAATAAAAAAATAAAATTTATTTTTTAAAAAAAGCAGCAGCCAAGAAAAACATCACCCTACACATTGTTTCGCTGCTTTATCTTAGTATAGGAAATGCAGGCTCCCATAGAATCTTGGAATCGTAGAGCACCAGTGCTGGGCCTGGGGTGGGAGGCCCCCAGAAACTACCTCATCCAGCCCTGCCCCCGACTCCCCACAGAAGAGAAAATGCAACCCAGAGAGTGAAGGACCCTCGTCCACAGATGCATAGCCGGCCGAGGCTGAACTGGGGCCAGGACAGGTGTTCTGCTATGGGCTGACACAAGGCTTTGGACCCACTGGCCTCACCCACTTGGTCTTCCCAGCCCTGGCCTCCTTTTCCAAAGAGGGTTCATATTTGATTCTTCTCAGAGATGTTGTGGGCTGATTGTCCTTGATGTTCCTCAGGGCCCTGAGGGAAAGCCTGGACTTGATGGAGCCTCCGGCCTTCCTGGAATGAAAGGGGAGAAGGTATGGAGAAGAGGGGGGCGGGCTCCAACAAGGGGAATCACCAGGCCCAGCCTGCCTCTCTGACGTCTAAGCCTGACCTTGCCTGATCACATCCTGGTCCGCGCTGCTGGATGTCTCCCCATCCCGGAGCTCTTTATGCCCAAACCTGCACTCAGCGTCTTCCCCTGCCCACTCCTGCATGTCCCCAGCTTCCGTGAATGGCACTGCCATCCACCCAGCCCCCTGGACTCGAAAGCAGAGTCTTCTCTAACTCCTCCCTCCTCTCCCTTTCCTACCATGAACCATCTGTTGCCAAGACTGGCCAATCTGATGTCCACCTCTCTTTCCACCCTGACATGACGTTCATCTCTCCTCGCCTGCAGTGTGGCATCAGGCTCCTCGCTGGTGCCCCCTTCTCCCCACCCACAATCCAGCCTCCAGCTACCTGCCCAGTCCATCTTCCTAGAGCAGGCTCTCACCACGCACTGCCCTCTCCACTGAGAAAGCGCCAGCGACCCCCCGTTGCCTGCAGGACAGAGCCCTCACTACGTGCAGACCTTCAAGGCCCTTCCCGGCCTACCTTTCCAGCTCCACCTCCCGCCGCTCCCTTACACACCTGGCCTCCAGGCCAGCCAGCCAGCACGACTGAAAGGCTCTGGGCTTGCACAGCCTCCTGGCCCTGGCCTGTGGTTTCCTCTCTGGCCTGTCCTTTCCCTTTCCTCATTCTCAGAAGCCCAGTTCAGATATACCCTCTGGGAAGCTCTCCTGGACTCTGTGAGCAGAAAGTACCCCTCCTTCCTCTGCTTCCCGTTAGCACAGTACTGATTCTGCGGGACCCCTCCAGCCAGGGTCACTGAAGCTGTTGGCTTACCAGTCTGCTCCCAAGCCCAGCCTTACAAGCAGGGTGTGAGCACTGTCTGTGTGTCCTTAGAACCTAGCCCAGGCTCCTGTGAGCAGTTTGATGCATGAATGAAACTTCTTCAGGCGCCCTTTTTGCCCTCCATTCCTGAGTCTCACACGCCCTCAGTCTCTCCCTTCTCTGTAAGCCCCTGTAGTCTTCTGTTAAGGTTAAGCCACGTGGTGCTGTGGGGCGGGGTTCCTGCCCCTGCTGTGTTCCCATGTTCCGCAAATGGGGGCAATAAAGCTAAGGTGAGCTTCCTTCTAGAGATGTAGTCGTGAGCTTCACTGGGGTTCAGAGGAGGGAGGGGCCTCCCCTCTGGGGTGGGGACTGGAGGCCTTCTGTGTACCCAACCTGGACGGAGTTTTGGAAAGTGCTGACTCCCTAGACACCATCCTTGTCACTGAATTTCCAGTTTCCGTCAGCTCTCAGGAGTATTTTTATTGAAACAGTAACTCGATTTTCGTGAAAAGCTCATTTCTCAGAAAAAGAAGAAACAATTCTCGAGCTTTATAGAACTCATTTTACACGTACTGTTTCATAAGAAATTAAATTTTGCAGGAAACATCACAAGACTTACTCTCATCTTCCTTGTTCTTCTTACCAGCTTCCCTGCCCCCGACACTCCCCCACACCCC